ACACTATAGGAATCGTGTCTCTGAATTTATCTTCTATAGGTTTTAAAAAGTTGTAGGTAAAGAGTACTGTGTATAGTATAACCCTTTTATAATAAACTAAATTACTTACCTATTTAGTTTATTATATATATAATATTATATATATTCACTAGAATTTGGTTTAGACAGCGAAATAATGTCACGATTTATACCTATGTAACCTACTCTTTGTTATGTGTTTTTTTAAATTCCGCAAATTATCAAATTCTGTCAATTTATACACAACAACATTAATTAATTAGTTATTATATTACCTACACGTTAAAAAAAATCTAAACTATCCATTGACTGGCGAACATCGTATGACACATGCTGTTTTCGAGGTTATCGCATACATAGATTCAGATGTCAGATGAAATCTCAATTACATAGGTACCACCTATTTGTATAATAAAATAGTTCATTAAAAAACATTTGTAATTTGATAATATCAAGCCTGACCATTATCTACTGTCTTTGTCTTTTTCTTATCAAGTAGAAGTTGCTACAAGTACCTACCTGTCTTCGTATAAAATGTATAGGCACATAGATATTTTTAGAGTATTCCTGTCAGGCACATCCTTGACGCTAACAGGCACGGAAATATGTAGTTAGACCTTAATCATGCATATTTTATTTAATATAGCTTAACGTGTCTAAAACATGTGTATGGTGGCGTATTCCTAAAATACCTACGTAGGTCTTATATGTAACGCAACACCCCCTATTTACCTGTTATATTATGCATTGAGTCCCATGAGCGAAACTTAATAGAATAGTTACTTTAGAATTTCAGACTCCGTGTATTATATTACCCAAACCTATAGTATTTCGGCGATGGCGACCTCTCGCGTCCGGGCCTAGTGCAGGCCATGATGCGGAGCGAGGGGGACTGGGATGCCGTCTCCTCCTTTTGCGAAGCAGTCATGCTAGCTAAGAAGGAGGCGGGACGCGTGAGGCAGCGAAGCGCTGCCTCCTCGCAACCCAGCCATCGTGAAGGACACACCGGGCGTCGGGGATCGCGAGACGATCTCCGGCCACCGTAAGCGCGGGCCTGCGGACGGCGAGCATGAGTGGCTCTCCGTCCGACCAGAAACAGACCCGAGCGTACGGCGCGTCGCGTTCCGCGCGCGCCTCAAAGAGCCATCAGACCACCACAGATGGGGCCCAAGAGGGCCGAAGCCGATTCGGAGTTGGGGAGAACCTAACGGGTAACCGGGGCTCCGGCTCGACGTGCAGAAGGAACGGGGTGGTTTTTAGTCAGTAAGAGTCTGACACTCCCCGCCTCACCCAGGCGGGAGCAGTCATTCGATGATAAAACCTATAGTATTTTGTCGGATCCGGAAATCCAGACATAGGAATTGCACCTAAGCTTTCTCATATACACGTACATACATAATTATGTAGATACTTATACCTAACGGATCTATCACAAAAGAATGACACGTGTGTGTGTACCTGTATTATTGTCTACGTCTGTCGTGGCGTAATAAATGGTTTTATATCTTTCTTTTCTTTATTTACCAATAAAGTATTGTTCGTATATACTTAAGTACTATCATTCGTTTTCGTACATAGGTAGGTACCGTTATTTTGTCACATTCGTTTAAAGTATTTACATAAACGGGAAAAGGTAGACAGAAATTCATACAATATTCATTACCTACATACGGTATCAATATTATGGCTATTTTTACAAGCAATATTCCTATACAAAATCCAGACATCTTATCACAGCTACCTGACCAATTCCAATGCGCCAAAGCCAAGGAATTCTTGCTGCAAGTAAAATTAAAACTCAACTCAGTTAAAATATTTATTTTATATGGTGTTCTATACGAAAACGTACCTTTTTATTACCTCTTAAAGTTTTATTTTATATGTACTTAGGTATATATTGATTTAGCCGTTTAGACCGTTAGAATTACCTATACTTAGGGTCCTTTCAGTACTAGAATTTGGCAGAAACTGGTTCAACTAAGTAGGGCATTTATTACGCATGTAAGAACTGATAATCGATGCCTCACATTATTTGACTTAAATGCAGCTGGTTAAATTTTATGCAGGAACCTACCTACTTGGTAAAACCGATATCGCACTATATGCGATATGTTTACCAAGTAGGTACCTAAACCGATATCGCATATGTAGTAGGTACTTAGGTTAAAAAAGGTACGTATTGAATGGAAGGTCTATCTCTATGTCTCTGTATTGATAACTAGCTTTCCGTCCGCTGCTTTGCCTGTGTAGGCAAAATAACACCTACATAGCCTTATTATATACATAGGCTTATTTATAAGCTATTCGTGTAGGTACGCAATAAATAAGAATTAAAAAAAGAGATGTATAAGTAATACATAGGTGCATCTATAGGTAATATGTACGATGTATGTACATTTATGATGAGCACATTACTGTAATAAGTCAACGATAGTTCGACGACCCTTTGTCTGAATTGGTTACCGACAAGCCATTTTGACCTTTAACCCCTGTACAGTAGTTCTTAATCGCTTCATTGTTATTTGTTCGCTATGATAAAAGTGTTATTACTGTTTTGTTATCTGTCTATTTTGGCGAGACACACCCGTTTCTACGTTACTGTCTGAATACTATGAAAAATTGGTTTAGTGCCTTCCTTTGTCATTTATACGTAGACAATTTATTTATTTTTTGGAAACCAACAGCTACACATGGAAAACAAATGCGACACAGTTGGCGCAGTGACTGGGCAAGTGGCTGCCGCGCACTATGTAGCATGTGAGCATGTCCGATTCCCGCACGGAGCAACTCTTTGTGTGATCCACAAATTGTTGTTTCGGGTCTGGGTGTCATGTGTATACGAAATTGAATGTTTGTAAACACACCACTATACAGGAGAAAATCCTAGTGCGGAACAAAGTTTTTAAATTAAAACAATAACAAATACAATAATATATAAACATGGCAAAATTAATTCAACTACTCAAGGTCTTTATTTATGTATTAGGTATTTGTTTTTTACCTCGAACAGATACCGCTAAAACGAATTTCCTAACATCAGTCTACTACTAATCAGTGAATCTATTAGCACTTTTTGCCAAGCGGAGCTAACGTAACTCCACGTGATTCACATTCGAAAACAATGAATGAATCAAACGGACGTTGCATTGGTCTATCATCAGCAAAATATATCTGTAGATATTGTAAAACTATTTCCTTTGACCAATGGTATGTAACAAAAGATGTATGTATCACTGCAACGATATACATATAAACATCGTCTAGCCTGATGAATAAATTCTGTTTACCGTACACGAGCACTCTTGACTTTTGCCCTACATTTTCTAATCACGAGGCATACGTTATAAATCATTGATCGAAATTATAAACAGGGTGTTGCGCTACACTGTACGGCACATTTAAAATCGTGCATTTGAGCCAAGTCAGTCAGGATGAAATTTTAAAATTAAATGTTATGTCTATTAGTCCAAGGTGATTTTAGAAGGCACATGGCTGACAAAAAATCACGTCAACAATGGTAAAATAATACTGCACCAAACTACTGCAATTTTTGTATCGTTCATTTTCTGCACAGTTTAAAACAAATATTTGTGTGATCTGCAAGTATTTTTGATGTTCTGCATCTGGATATTCTGTTTATGAGATTTGTGTTTGTATTTATAAATAAAACATTAGGACTTAAGTGTCACGAGGGATGATGACACTGATAACTAGGTACCTATTTAAGTAGGTATACCGTCTTACTAAAAGAAAAAACTATATAAACATCGGTTCTTACTCCCGTTTTGTGCATTTAAACATAAAACCTTTAAAAACTTGCATTTCGATCTATTCAGTCATATCACCCTATATTTAAATGTCATGCGCAATAGACCCATATAACCACAACTCCTATTTATAGTTACATCCGACTCTGATTAGTTATCACACGATGGGCATGAACTTTGACACTACAAATTCTTAATATAATTTACTAGGTATATTAACGGACAATGCAGAGGTCCTGCCAAATTGCTTGACCTCTCGCCCTATTCTAAGTGATTCAAGGTGACCGAAATATTGAAGGGACATTCCTAAGATGTTCCATTGCTTCCAATTAGTATCGTTGCGAGGTAGTCAATGTTCTTAATTATGCGATTACCAACTGTAGATTCAGAAGTCAGTTGACTAAACATATTACGATTACTTAGGTATATTGTAATTCATTTAAAGCTTATGAATAAATTAACTACTCAATAAATATTCATAGCTACATATGAATTGCATAGGTCACAAAAAATATACAACAATGCATAATTATTGTCTTACGTAGAACGTAGGTCAGTAAAAAAGGGAGTTTTTTATAATGTGTTTAAACTTTAAATGCAACAAAGATACAT